ACGATGAAGAAGTCTTGACAAAACATATACGAAGAAATCATGACAAAACATATACGATGAAGTTTCGACAAAACATGTACGATGAAGTTTCGACAAAACATGTACGATGAAGAAATCATGACAAAACATTTACACTCATTACGATGATGAGGTCATGACAAAACATATACGTTCATGTTTGACAAATCATTTACGTTCATGTTTGACAAATCATTTACGTTCATGTTTGACAAAACATATACGAAGAAGAAATCATGACAAAACATGTACGAAGAAGTTTTGACAAAACATGTACGATGAGATTCCGTATGAAAATTCATGAGGTTAGAAATGAGGTTAGATCTACCCTTCTACCCTAAACATTATTTTTGGATCATTTACGCTCATTACGATGAAGAAATCATGACAAAACATTTACGTTCATGTTTGACAAAACATTTACGCTCATTACGATGAAGAAATCATGACAAAACATTTACGTTCATGTTTGACAAAACATTTACGCTCATTACGATGAAGAAATCATGACAAAACATTTACGCTCATGTTTGACAAAACATTTACACTCATTACGATGAAGAAGTTTCGACAAAACATAAACGAAGAAATCATGACAAAACATTTACGATGAAGAAGTTTCGACAAAACATTTACGCTCATGTTTGACAAAACATTTACACTCATTACGATGAAGAAGTTTCGACAAATCATTTACGATGAAATCATGACAAATCATTTACACTCATGTTTGACAAATCATTTACGATGAAGAAATCATGACAAAACATTTACACTCATGTTTGACAAAACATTTACGTTCATGTTTGACAAAACATTTACACTCATTACGATGAAGAAGTTTCGACAAAACATAAACGAAGAAATCATGACAAAACATTTACGATGAAGAAGTTTCGACAAAACATTTACGTTCATGTTTGACAAAACATTTACGTTCATGTTTGACAAAACATTTACACTCATTACGATGAAGAAGTTTCGACAAAACATAAACGAAGAAATCATGACAAAACATTTACGAAGAAGTTTCGACAAAACATGTACGTTTAAGTTCCATGAGGTCATAACAAAACATTTACGAAGAAATCATGACAAAACATTTACGATGAAGAAGTTTCGACAAAACATTTACGAAGAAATCATGACAAAACATTTACGATGAGGTCATGACAAAACATATACGAAGAAATCATGACAAAACATTTACGTAAACATTTATTTCCTGTGTTGTTGTCAAAATGTCATGTTGTCTCATTTTTTCAGAGAAGTTCATTAACCGAGTGACACATGGTGACGTAGTGACACCTTCAGTTCTTCAAAAATAATTCATAACTGCCTTCCCCTGCTGTGTTGTCAAACATGAACGTAAACATTATTTTTGGTTCATTTACACTCATTACGATGAAGAAATCTTGACAAAACATATACGATGAAGAAATCTTGACAAAACATATACGATGAAGTCATGACAAAACATTTACGATAAAATCACGACAAAACATTTACGATAAAATCACGACAAAACATATACGTTTAGTTTCGATGAAATCATCATGACAAAACATATACGATGAAGTCATGACAAAACATTTACGATGAAATCATGACAAAACATATACGTTCATGTTTGACAAAAACATATACGATGAAGTCTATGAACATAATAATATTTCAAACCAGGAGCCAAATTCTTGCGATTTTCATATGGAATCTCTTCTCTCGGTTTTCCGAGGTAAGCAATTATATGAAATCATTTACACTCATCACGATGAAATCTATGACAAAACATATACGAAGAAGTTTTGACAAAACATAAACGAAGAAATCATGACAAAACATATACGAAGAAGTTTTGACAAAACATATACGAAGAAATCACGACAAAACATTTACGATGAAATCATGACAAAACATATACGATGAAGAAGTCTTGACAAAACATGTACGATGAAGAAGTCTTGACAAAACATGTACGATGAAGTTTTGACAAAACATATACGATGAAATCTATGACAAAACATTTATGTTATACAGTAATGTTAGTCATGAATGTTTGTCCTACGTGTTGGCGTTAGTGTTGAAAAATAATGTTTGTCCTACATGAAGCCGTACAAGCGTTTGAATTTGTTTATGCATAAGATTACTCTCTTGTTTTCTGTATCTATCATACAAACATAAGCAGCACCTGTTTTTGTAAAGTTTATATGAAGTTTTCGATAGTTAAGACCTGTATAATAATAGAATGCGTCCTCATTCTCAACATAATAGTAGAACTCAAACGAATGCTTACCATAAGCTGTTATTTCAACAGCTTCGTCAGATATTTCATCAACGAACTCATAAACTATATCGCCATACTTGCTTTTATTTCTATTGTTTTCAGATTTAGAACACCAACGAAGGTTTGAGATTCTGTTGTCCGTTCTATCATGATTTATATGGTCTATTTCTTTCAAATTGTTTGGATTTTCAATCCACTGTTCTGCAATAATTCTATGCTTTAAATGTGTTTTGTTGTTTAAACTAAGCTCAATATAACCATGATTATTTAAGCATTCACTCTTAATATGTTTGTTTTTCTTTCGACGAATAGTAAAAGGATATGTCGTACAAATCTCATAATCTTCATGATTTCTCAATGTTTCCCATTGAGTTTGTTCCCCACTAACGTTCTCATTGACGTCCTCAATATCTTCTTCCTCACTGAACTCGTCAATATTTTCACTAGCTCCTTCTGTAATGTTTTCATCGGCATTGTCATTGACTTCTTCTGTAATGTTAGATGTTGTTGTTTCGCTCATGTTCTTACACTAATGTTAAAAAGTTATGTTGTACGAATTTTGAACAGAATTTAGAGCAGTTATGAAACAATGAAGTATTTTTACGCTATTGAAAGGAACTATGAGAGTGAAGTACATGACAGCAATGACAAAAGGAACTAATATCAAACCTAATGAAATCGCTCACGAGGACATAGAGCTTAACAAGTACTTTGTGGAGTATCTTATAAGTGAAGAGTATGTAAGACCTTACTTCATGTTTGACAGCATGAATGAGGATGTTATTTCATGGTTAAAGAATATAAGCAATGTTTTCGGTAAGTACGTCATAGATGACAAAGGTCTTGTTGTATTTTATGAGACAGCAATACGAACACAGGAACTAATGGATATTATGCATTCAACAGCAAAGAAAGGATTTAGTACTATTGGCATGAATGAACATTGCAGGAATGACATATACAACCTATGCTCACGAAAGCCTTACACAAAAGCAATACAAATGATAGAACATAAGCGTCTAAGGTCAGCAAATGAAATCATTACTGTCAGTGGTTATGAAAGAACTGTTAGCAAAGATGAGTGGAAACAGCTATTCATATTAAGGAAGGACGTTGCTGAACTAGTTAAACCTGTTGCACAAACATTGTTTCAGATAAGACCAGCAATGACTAAGAACCCTTTGACCTTAGTCAATGAGACCATAGAGGTTGAAGATAATGACATAAAAGAACTAGGAATGAATGAGAGAAGTTGTGAAGGATGTTTGAGTCAAAACACATGGTTCTTCAGAGCTGTTAAGAAACTTAGTACAGAACGACAGAAATATTTTATAGAGAAGTATTGTAAAGGATGTGTAAATGAATTGTTTGAAATAGAACTTAGAGACACTTTCACACTAAAGGACTTGAGGAAAAATAAGTACATGAGTGAGGACGGTATTGACATAGCTAGTGTTATAAATGACTTAAGAAGATGTGTTGTCGTTATTGACGGAGCACGTATGACATATCTAGTGAAAGATTATGATGGAATACGAGACACAACAACACTTGTATCAATAGATAGCAAGGAATTCAATAAGCTCATGAAGAGTATTTATGTAGGACGTATTGAGGAGAAGGATGTGAACGCACTGATGATTTATGAAGCGGGTCAGAACAAGAACTATCTTATGAGTCAGGCATGAGATTCTTTGACGAAAGAGATGACATTTACAGCTATTTCAGAGGATATGAGTATGAGGTACTGAATGAAGTAGATGAGAACGTTATTGAAGGATATTTGAAACATGTTCACGATGTCATATGTAATGAGGATGAAGAGCTTTATGAGTATGTTTTGAACTGGTTCGCCTACATCGTTCAAAATCCTTGTGGAAAGACTGGAACAGTACTTTTGTTAATAGGAAAGCAAGGAACTGGTAAGAATGTACTTAGTAATGTTCTATGCGAGCTCATTAGCAAGTACGCCAACAATAATATAACGGCAATAGAGAATGTGGTTGGTAGATTCAATGCTGCTATTGAGAACATGAAGCTCATCGTATGCAATGAACTAAGCTCATGCGATACGTCTAAGGTCATGAACCACGACGCACTAAAGTCAATAGTAACAGAGACTCAGTTGGACTTAAATCAGAAGTGTCAGCCAGTAAGAAAGATAGAGAATGTTTGTAATATCATCATGATATCTAACAACTTCAACTCAGTAAAGATTGACAAAGACGACAGAAGATTTGTTGTCATTGACGTAAGCAGCAGATACAAAGGAAATTACGAATATTTCTCAAATCTCATTGAAAGCTTTAATGAAGAGTTTTATTCAAACTTACTGACGTACTTCATGAGGAAAGATTTAAGTGAATTTGATGTAAGGAAGATACCATTCACCAGGGCTAAACAAGAACTCATCGAAATGAACAAAACACCTTACCAAATGTTTTACGAGGAGTTCTATGAAAAGTTTGTATCCGGATGGAATTGTACAGAGTGCTACAGAAGATATAAAGAATTTGCGAAGGAGAATGAATTCTTTGCATGTAGTTCAAATGTATTTGGTGGCAAGATGAGAGAATTTGTGAAGAGAAGTAGAAAGCGAGACGGTTCTGCAAGAAGTTATATTTACGAAGCAAGTATGATATTAGAAGGTCGTGGAAAGAAAGAAACAGTGAATTATGAGGAAGTGCTTGAAAAATTCATGGAGTACATGGGAAGCAATATAACATACAACAAAGACATATACAGTGAGTTTAAGTACTACTGTGAACAGCATGAGATTGAAGTAATGAGTAAAGGAGATTTTGAAACGCTTATGAAAGACAGTAAGGAGGTCGTTCATGAGAACAGTGTTGAAATAGTTCATGAGAACAGTGAGGAGGTCATACATGAGAACAGTGATGAAATAGTTCATGAGAACAGTGAGGAGGTCATACATGAGAACAGTGATGAAATAGTTCATGATGTCGTTCGTGAAGAAGCCATTGCAACAAAGAATGAGATAAAGGATTTCATAGAACTTAACAAGGAGGAGTTTTAAAGAAGGCTATGAAGTGAAAAGATGTGAAGAAGATTTCTTGGCGTATTTGAAGAAAAAGAGACTAAAGCCAATGGCTCAAAAAGTTTCAATCGATGTTTGAAAAGAAACGTTTGAGCTATGGTGGTGTAAGAAGCACATATTACTTTGTTAAGAAGTGAGGACATTTATTTTTGTCGTTAGTGTTGGAGTTTGTGGTTGTTGTTAGTGTTTGTCATTTGTGCTGAGGTTAGTACTTGTCGTTAGTGTTGGAGTTTGTGCTGAAGTTAGTGAGAGAATAAATTAAATCATGAACTTTGCCATGGTCTCTGTCCTAGTAGTTTTCATTAAGTTCTGGAAATAATGAAAGTCATAAACTTTGCCATGGTCTCTGTCCCTAGTAGTTTTCATTATCTCACAGAGTTAATGAAAGTCATACTTTCTATCAGATGAAGCATGCAGATGAACATAATGAAAGTTAGTGAGTTTGCCACGAGTTATGAATAAAATATTGGCATATTAGATGAGATAGTTGATGAAACAGATGAAGATAAATTAAATCTTGGACTTTGCCACACTCTGTCCCTAGTTCCTCAAAATCCTTGACAACGTTGCTTAGAAATTTTGGTTCAAAACCTCATCTGATTTTAATCTGTTATGCTACCTGTTAAGTTTCGCGAGATTATAAATGTCATGGAGTTATATAAAAAGGAGGGACAGCTAGGGACACTGGAAGTACTTGTAAGGCTATCTGTTAAGATTGCATGAAATACTAAAAAGTCATGAAATCCATTATCGCTGTGCTAGCTTCACCTTAGAGTAAAATGACAAATAAAGTCACTGAAGCAATGAAACAAAAGTTTTTGGTAGAATACATTAAATCAGGAACTATTCCGGAAGGTTTTTACATTCATACTATGAAGGATGGTAGAGTTCAGTTTAGAAAGATAAAGCAACCATTAGATAAAGAAGGAATTTTGAGAAAGATTAAACTTCATGAGGACAACATTGCTGAACTTAAGAAGAAGTTAGAAGAGTTGGAGAAAGGAAGAGAGTTATAAAGTAATGAATTCAACAGGTTAGAAATGAGGGTAGAAATGAGGTTAGATCTACCCTTCTACCTAAATTTATTTTGCGCTATGTTTTCATACGTGTGAGGGTGGTGATATCATTAATTTTTAAGTTTATTTTTTATTTTTACTGAAAATTTTTATTGGATGTAAATGACGAAAACTATTGAGATAACAAACTACAACGGTCATGAGTTCAAGAATTTGTTCTTCGTTCCTCGTGAAAATACATTCTATCAGATACGAGGGAGAAAGGGTAAAGTTAGTTTGAGCGTTTATGAAGGAATGAAGAATGGAAAGTTTATACAAGCATACGATACAAACGGTAAACGTGTTTCATTAGCTTTGTCAAAACTTACTAACATTTATTTTGACAGTGATTTTGACCTATATGAAGAAGAAAGTGAGTCAGAAGATTATGAGCTGTTATGTGAAGCACAGCAATGGGAGGAGTTGCAATACTTTTGTAAGTGAGAACGTTTATTTTTACATTAATGAAGTCGTTTGTGAAAACGTTAGTGAAGTGAAGTGGTTGGCGGCTTTGTAAATATTTAAGGTTAAGTTAGTGTTGTCGTTTGTGTTGTAAAATATAAGTTAATGGTTTTGTAAAGTGTCAAAACAGCTAAGTGGTGTATGGAGACGCGCAGTGCCACCATACACGACTTAACCATACTTAAGAAGTTAGAGAAAGTTTATGGCTTCAAGTATGACTACAATAGGGTTAACACTGATGATGAAGATATTGAGGAAAATTTATGAGAACATTAGTGAAGTCGTTAGTGAGAACGATAGTGAGAACGTTTATTTTTTACATTAGTGAGTTCGTTAGTGAAATGAAGTGGGTGGTGGTTTTGTAAATATTTAAGGTTAAGTTAGTGTTGTCGTTTGTGTTGTAAAATATACGTTAACGGTTTCGTAAAGTGTCAAAACAGCTAAGTGGTGTATGGAGACGCGCAGTGCCACCATACACGACTTAACCATACTAACTAAGTATACTTCCTTGGAACGCCCGTAACTTTTCCTGTAGCGACGATAGACCCTTACTTGTCCGGACAAAGTTATACTAAACATCTTCAGGGCTAGAGGGCACGAAGTGCCTGGAGGCCCCACTACCTTTTTTTTTTTATATATTATTTTTCATATGTATAAATCATATAATCTATATCTATGCAAATCTCATCTAAATTTTTTTGAAACAAACCGCTACCATTTTATAATGGTCCATCTTAAATTCATCATAAATTCTGGTACATGTTAGTACCAGAGTCTTCAAATCTCAAACACTCTGGTACCAACATGTACCAGACGCGAGTTTCCAATGCCCTCGTACGATTTTCTATTAAGATCTTCTTGAATGAGAAGGTCTTCATAGAAACTCGTATGAGGGCTTCTCTTTTAAATACTCTGGTACCTGCTGGTATCAGAGTCGACTTTACAGCCCTTTCCCCAATTTTGAAGCTGGGGAAAGTTTTCAAGCAATGAAAGGGAAGCTCTCGCTATGAGGTGAAAATCTAGAATTTTTACCTCATAGCGAGTAATCCTTTGTTAATTGCTTGAAAACTTTCTTCAAATTATCAAAATTTCGAGGAAAGTTTCCTTGCTTCAAAGTAGAGATAGAGCCCTTTGAGCCACTGCATATAGGTCAGTGACTCAAAATACTCCATCTCTACTAGAAATCGCCAAAATTTGGGTCGCAATCTTTGAAATGCGACGCAAGTTTTGGCAATTTCGCGAGGGACTTGCTCCATTTGGTGCATAGATTCACACTCTATGCACCAGATGGAACAATTCTTTCGCTGACAGCGGGAAACTTTGTCTGAATAGTTTAACATTCAGACAAAGTTTCCCGCTGTCAGAGAGGGAATGGAAGGGTAAGAGGTATATATTCATAATGTATACCTCTTACTCTTCCATTCCCTCAAGAAAGTTCAAAAACTTGGGTGCAATCAGAACTGATTGCACCCAAGTTTTTGAACTTTATATAAGGAATTGTTGGCTATGATGTACTGATCATGAATCAGTACATCATAGCCAACAATTCCTTCGCAAACAGTGGGAAACTTTGTCTGAATAGTTTAACATTCAGACAAAGTTTCCCGCTGTCAGGGAGGGAATTAGAGGGTGGGATATATATAGAAAGACTATAAATCTCTCACCCTTTAATTCCTCAAGAAAGTTCAAAAACTTGGGTGCAATCAGAACTGATTGCACCCAAGTTTTTGAATTTTGTATAAGGAATTGTTGGCTATGATGTGGATAGCCGCTGCCAGACCAAATGAATTAACCGTTGTGAATAACGTTTCTGAATCTTTATTTAAAAAAGATAAAATATCACGATTTTGGCTGCGTTAAAAATCAAAGAATTGATGTTTTTGTCAAAAATCTTTTAGAAGAAGTTGCACCCAATTACTTTTATCGTATTAAAAACGATTTACTTCAAACAGGTTTTATTCCTTCAATTAGAATTCGCGAGCCTCGATTGACAGATTATAAAACAAAATTGAAAAGAGAAGTTCAATCACGTTTATACCAAGTATTAAATTTTGTTCAGAATCAAGAAGCCAATTTGAATCCATTAAGATTTTTATTGGAAAATGCTGAAGAAAAACTTTCTCATATAAATGAGAAGATACAAAATTCAATTACATATTTAAGATCGTTTGAAATTCCAAATGAATTGTTAGATACGTATATGTTAGAAATTAATGAATTTTAGTAGTAGGATATGAAGGGTTTTGTGACTTTTTTTGTTACGTCTATATATAGATGAAGGTATATTTTCACATCTTCTATATATAGATGATATAAAAATTTTTTCTTACGTTTTTTAAGTCATGAATTCGTAAGAAAGCGCGACATTATTAAATAAATTAGTAATAAATATTATATACTAAACACATTTTAAAATTTATTTATAAATCATTAAAAAATTAACATTAATTTTAAATATATTTATTTATAAATCATTAAAAATTAACATTAATTTTAAAATATATTTATTTATAAATCATTAAAAATTAACATTAATTTTAAAATAATTTATTTTTTATCTTTTATAAAAGAAGCTATATATGATGATGTCAGATATTCCGCGATTAATTAAACATTGTTTAAATCCTGAATGGATTAAACTTCAATTTAAAAATGAAGATTGTGAATTATTAAATGAATATGAAAGCCAAAATAAGCTAATGAGGTATAAATATAATATGATAAAGAATATTTAATTTCATGGAATCAATGGAGTCATAATCAAAGACCTCATAAACGAGAAGAAGAAATTGAAAATAATGAAATGGAAATCATTGATGACATTAAAGAGGATGGAATTCCTAAATTTTGTAGAAAAACCTTTAGAACTAAGTTAGGAGCATATAAACGTAGAGTATTAAATCCTGAATATCTTAAACATATATTTAAAAAGGAAGATTGTGAATTATTAAACGTTAATGAATATGAAAATGCTAAATCAAAACTGAGATATAAATATATTGGAAGTGATGAAAGGTGTAAAGATAAAGATAAAGTTTATTCAGTTTCATATAATAACTGGCACACGTTGGGGATAAGAAAACATTTAGGAGATTATGGTAAAAGTTCTGAATTCTTCAAATCTAGTATGTACGAGAGAGTAAAAGAAATTAGAAATAATTATTTTCATGAATAAAAGATTCACTACCATAATGAAATAAAAAATAAACTTTAAGAAGAATTTGATGAGTTCAACATTGAACTTTAAGAAACTAATGATTATTTGAATTTATGAAATCAATTATCTGATTTATTCTTTCTTCAATCTCTTCTATTCTTTTTGTTAAATCATCTATTTTCATTAATGAGGTGATTCTTGATTGAGGAATAGATTTCAAACTAACCACCCCCTTTATTTTTGAAATTTTGAATCCATCAACTTTAAACATTTTATTCAATTTACACGTTGTCAATTCTTCAAAT